CAAAATTCCAATGGCATTTTTCATAGAAATAGAAAATATAATTCTATCATGTGTATGCAATTACTAAGACACTGAATACCAAAAACACTCTTGAGAAAGAAAAAGTTAGAAGCATCACACTCTGATTTTATATTACAAAGCTCTAGTACTGTATAGTTCAGGCATAAAAACAGACACATAAGCCAATGAAACAAAACAGAGTTTAGAAATACACACAGCCATATAATTTTCAACAAGGCTAACAAGAAAACATAGGGAGGAAAAGACAGTATCTTCAATAAGTGGTGTTGGAAAACTGGATTTCACACGCAAAAGAATGAAAATAGACAGCTATCTTACATCAGACACAAAATCAACTCAAAATAAATTAAAAACCTAAACCTATGACCTGAAGCAGTGTAACTTCTAGAGGGAAAGCTCTTTGATACAGGCCTGACCATGATTTTTTGGGCATCACAGAAAAAGCTCAGGCAACAAAAGCAAAAATTAACACATGAAACTACGCCAAACTAAAAAGCTTCTGCACAGCGATCAATCAACAAAATGAAAAGGCAGCCTATATTGTAAGAAAATATTTGCAAACTGTATATCTGATAAAAAAAGGTTAATACTCAAAATATGTTAGGAACTCACAACTACTCAACTGCAAAAAAAAACCCTAATTTACAATTTGGGGAAAGGCCCTGAACAGAGACACCTCTCAAAAAACATACAAATGACCAACAGGTGTATGAAAAGGTGCTGAACATCACGAACCATCAGAGAAAGGCAAATTAAAATCACAGTGAGATATCACTTTACACTTGTAAGACTAGCTACTTATCAAAAAAAAAAACAAAACAAGAAACAACAAGTGCTGGTGAGGATGTGGAGAACAAGGAACCCTTGCACACTGCAGTGGGAATGTTAATTGGTACAGCCATTGTGGAAAACAGTATAGAGGTTCCTCAAAACACTAAAAATACGACTACCAAATGAGTCAGCAATCCCCCTTCTGGCTATGTCTCCAAAGGAAAGAAATCACCAGCTCATAGAGATGTGTGCTCTCCCATGCTTACCACAGGATCATCCCCAATAACCAAGAAACTGAAGTAACCCATGTGTCCATCAACAGATCAATGAGTAAAAAAAAAATAGAGTGCATATCCCTACAACAGAATATTATTCAGGCTTATAAGGAAATATTGCCATTTGCAAGTATTACGGGGATGTAACTGGAGAAATAAACCAGACACAGGAAGAAAAGTATCTCACATGTGAAAACTAAAAACATACACAGAAGTAGACAGAAACAGAGTAGACTACAGAGAAATAGAGTAGAACAGTAATGACCAGAAATGGGGAGGTGTAGGGGGAGGATAGAGTGTAGGCAAAGGGTACAAAGTTGCAGTGAGATAGGATAAGTCTAGAGATTTAATGCACAGAATGAGCATAATAGTTAATAATGTGGTATTGTATACTATAAATTTGCTGAAACTGTAGGTGTTCTTTCTTACCACATGCACATACAAAAGATAACTAATTGCTTTATTATATTAACATAATATCTATGTGTAGATCAAAACAGCATACTACATATTTTAAATAAACGTACAGAAAATGCTACTAAATCCTACACATGTAAGATTCTCAGCATTTTGTAGAAAGCGTTTCTCTAGTATTACCTTCCAATTAATGTTTGGCCATGAAACAACAAAACACACCAGGTGCGGTGGCTCATGCTTGTAATTCCGGCACTTTGAGAGGCTGAGGTAAGAGTATTGCCTGAGCCCAGGGGTTTGAGACCAGCCTGGGCAACTTGGCAGAGATCTTGTCTCTATAAGAGATCAAAAGATAAGGCGGGTGTGGTGGCATGTGCCTGCAGTTCCAGCTACTTGGAAGGCTGAGGCAGAAGGATCGCCTGAGCCCAGCGGGTTGAGGTTGCCGTGGCTGTGAGCATGCCACTGCACTCCAGCCAGGGTGACAGAGCACAAAGAAAGAAAAAGCAAAAAAAGCTGGGCCCGGTGGCTCATGCTTGTAATCCTAGAACTTTAGGAGGTCGAGGTGAGAGAATTGCTTGAGCTCAGGGGTTTGAGACCAGCCTGGGCAACTTGGTAAGACCTCTTCTCTACAATAAATCAAAAAACTTAGCCAGGTGTGGTGGTGCATGTCTGTGGGTCCAGTTACTTGGAAGACTGAGGCAGAAGGGTCACCTGAGCCCAGTAGGTTGAAGCTGCAGTGGCCATGAGCACGCCACTGCACTACAGCCTGGACAACAGAGTAAGGCTCCAACTCAAAAAAAAAAAAAAAAAAAGCCAAACCAAACAACAAAAACGGGCCATGAGGCTAAATGCCAGTGTAAAAACAGAAAAAGCTTTATTCAGTCATCAAGATTTAGGATTTGTAAAATGGCAGTATCCGGAAACAAGTAAGAATCTAGATGGATTGACTTTCTTTTTCAGTATTCTCTGGAGATGTGTTCATACACACCTTGTGTTCACTCTTTAAACTACAAATGTGGACAGTCTACGTACATCTGAAGAGTTTCAGGTGACAAACCCTCATTAGCTAAGCTCCTTTTCCCTTCGTTTTCATTGCATCCACCTGCCTTTACATTCTTGGCAATTTTAAGGTTCCTTTTTGAAACAAAAACAAGACCCAAACCAGTGGGCTTTAGGGTTGCAAATTCTGAGATTATAAACCCTTCACCTCCAGGCAAAGGAATCTAAGGTAGACCAGCTTCCACAGAGTGGGTGGAGATAAGGAGGACAATCCTGGTTCCCCTTAGTTCCCAAGAACTAAGCCCTGCCCCTAACATTCTGCGGTCTTGAGGCCTCCCTGTTTAATTCTGCCTCTGGCTGTCTTCAGAGGTGCTGTCTTAGTCATCTCTGAAGTAGAAATCTATGGAGGACCAAATCAAGCAGTTACTGAAGCAAAAACCAGAGGAACACATGCTCCTTCATCTTGATCAAATGCCAAATTCCCAGCCTAAGTTCTATACTCAGGTGTTTCATCTGGAGGAAACTCCAAGCTCAGAAACGGATTCTGAACCCAGTACTCTTCTGACCTTACAGACCCGGGACCCACATCCCTATGGAAATGATGGTAGAAATGCCATACCAACTGCTTCAGAAATAAAAAGCAATTTCAGTGATAGTCCGTGGTAACAATTAGTTTGCACTGAAGTTTAAATGTAACTCATTTTTTTTTTAATTGTTTTAGATTTTGGCGTTTCTAAAAAATCAAGACTAATTTTGAATTGTATACATTTATTTAGTGTGTTGGGCCTTTTCCTCCTGAGAAACTGTTAAATGTATGCTGCCTGTTAGTATTACCTCCAATTATGTCTTATACCTTAAAATAAAATAAATGTGTTTTAGTTATTCCTGATTATCATATTGATTCTGATGGAAACATACATTTCAAGCTTAATGGCTTAATTTTTCTGCCCATTATAAGGTGATTCTAATCAAGGATTCACGTGATAGTCATAAAAATAACTCATACATTAGAGTTAGATTTTATTTTTACCAGCCACTTTGAACAATTAATTTTTCCCCTTATCTGTATTTAATCACTTTCTCTGAATTTCCTTCCACAGAATGTAAATACACCAGATTCTGTCAATGTAACTTTTCTTTTTTTCTTCAAGTCAGGGTCTTGCTGTCACCCGGGCCGGAACACAATGGCACAATCACAGCTCAAGGCAGCCTGGGCCTCCTGGACTCAGGTGACCCTCTATTCAGCCTCCGAGGAGTTGGGACTGCAGATGCATGCCAACACACCTGGCTAATTTTTTTGTTTTTATTTTTTGTAGAGGTGAGGTCTCACTATGTTTCCTAGGCTGGTCTCCAACTCCTGACCTCAAGCAATCCTCAGCCTTGGCTTCCCATAGTGCTAGGATTGCAGATGCAAGCCACTGTGTCTAGCTTTGTTCATCTATTAAAAACAACAAACTCTCTCTTATTCTGTGACTTCTCTCCAGCAAAGAAGACTTGCACATTTTCTGTTGAGTACAAGCAGCATGATTTATGCAACCTTCTTCTTAGCTGATATTTACATTTTGGACTCATAGCTATTAAAAATAGGATTCAGTTAACATCCTTGAGCAAATACTTTCACATAGTAGTGCAAATATCTCTGCAGAACAGAATTCTAGAGATAACATTACTGAGTCTAAAATAATGTACATGTTATAAGTTGAGCTTTGTCCCCTCTCCAAAATCTGTACGTTTTCTGGCAGCTCTGGCAGACTGTACATCAAACCTGCAAAACGACTTCCAAACTCGCTGTGACAATTTATACCTTAGCCAATCATGTATAAGGGAACCTTCTTCCTCGCACCATCCTACCAATACCGAACATCAATCATTGCCACTTGTTGCTGATGTTTAATTTTAAAGTCCAGACTTGGAACATTTTTCTGAACATAAAGATGTTCTTTTATTCTGAAATATCTAAAATGGATTCAAATGAATTAGTCCTATCAAATAAGCACTTACCTCTACACCTCTAACTGTATGATTTCCAATAATTTGATACAATGATAAAAAACAAAAGTCATAAAAATAAAATCTATTTAACTTTAAAAATCTGAACTACTCATTTATTGACTACTACAAAATTTTCGTTCTCTAAGATTATCACATGTACATGAAACGTATGTTTAAAAGGTAAAAGCGAAGCAATTGGAAACTACAGAATTAAAAATCAAAGTGAGCTTCATATTTATAGTGTGTGAAAAGTCTAAGATCCAATAATCCAATACATAATATATTAAAGATAATACTTTTGAAGTAAATGCATCACTGACCTTCCTGTGAGAGGCACACGATAAAACACATGATGCTCTTAAAATAGTACGGCAAAATACAGGAGTATCTCAGTAACACCATAATATATACCTTCTAGGGCTGTATACTGGTTTTAAAATTCCTTCCTAGAAACCATCAACAAGGAGCCGTATTTATCCCTGATCACCTCTGCCGAACCTGGTGGAGGGCTAGTATCCATCTTCTTTCTCACGGAGTCTTTTTGGTCTTTGCGTGAATTAGGATATGAGCCTTCAGGTTACTTGACTGAACAAACCTCCTGTCACAGCCTTCAAAGGGACACGTGAAGCGCTTCTCACCCGTGTGGATGCGCACGTGTGTACGCAAGTTGAAGTCCAGAGAAAAGCGCTTTCCACAGCCTTCAAAAGTGCACTGAAACGGCTTCTCTCCGGTGTGGACCAGAAAGTGTCTCTTCAGCTTCGAGCTCTCCAGGAACGCCTTCCCACACTCTGCACACACGTGGTCGCGGGGCCCATGGACGAGGACATGCTTCTTCAGGGCAGCCCTGCTGCTCAGCTTCTTCGTGCATCCAGTCTGAGGACAAGCGATGGTCTCCAGACCGTCACGTTCCTGGTTTTTTTTGGGCTTCTTTCTAGCAAATTCTGCGAGTTGTTTAGGATCTGCTAGGTCAATGCCCGGTATTCCTCCGGGTGGCAGCTTCTTGCCTGTCATGTACTCGGAGTACTCGCGTGAACTCTCTCCAGTGACCTGTCGTGGAAGGCCTTCTTCGGCCCCCGTTTTCATGTGCTCCAAAGAACGCTCAATGAGGGAGCTGGCTTCGAGCACCTGTTGAGAAAGCTCCTGGTCTGAAGCTTCCTTGATGTTTTCAAAGGACTTGAAAAGTGAGTCCTCCTCCAGGATGTGCTCAGAAAAGTCACCCCGTATGATGCACTCGATGTAACAGTCAGGGAAGGAGCCCTCCCCCAGCGCCTCATGGTCCGCCTCAAAGCACTCTCCATCATCACTGAAGGCCCATGCTGTGTCGAGAGGCTCCACTGCGGCCTGCCGGGGGCTGCTTGGCTTGCTTTTCCTCGATTCAGTCCCACTGGGGGCTTTTCTGCCCAGGCTCTTCCGGCCCCTTGTCTTTGCCCGTTTCTTCAGTTGCTGGCTCATGGCTTCCTGGCTGCTTCCTCCTTGAAGGCTTGAAGTGACAGATGATCGCTTCCAGGTGGCAGCGACCTGGGTAAGTTGTCTTCGGCAAACACCTGCTGTATGATAATAACCTTTAGTTACACATTCCAATATCAGAACCACTGTCAGAAACGGACCTCAAAAAATGGCCTTGATCACATTTTTCAATAATGGAATGGCTGTTTGCATCTTCTCTGATAAACTCCCCAATCGACAGAATAAGCTCTGGTGTTAAGATGTGAGTCACACCCAGACCTTCTCTGGCTATCCCTGCCAGTTACCTGACCTCTAACCTGTCACCTAACATTTACTGCCCTGGACCACACACTGCTTGTGATGTACCAGTAAATGGACATGCAACACCCATGCCTCCATGGAGTAGGTAAGCTTTTGAGCACATAAAAAATAGGTAAGTAATATATGTTATAGGCGATTAGGAAGTAGGAGTTTCCAATCTTAAACAGGGCAGTAAATGTTACAGGGCAGTAACAGTAAACCTTCACTGAGGTAAGTGGGCAAACCTTCACTGAGCAAACCTTCACTGGGCAAACCTTCACTGAGGTAAGTGGCAGTTGAGAACCTAAAGGGGGCGAGGGAGCAAAACATGCCTGCTTTCTTATGTGACTCTGTTAGGAAACTCAGATTAGATATACTGCGTGTAAGGAGCTTCACACAGACCAGAGCACATGGCAAATGCTGAGCACCTATGTGAGCCAGTGTCACTCTGTGACCCTGCCAAGCATTCCACAAGCGTCTGTCTGATCCTGCTCCGTGCTAGGTATTTCTCAAGACTGGCATGGCACTTTCTCTGTGAAGAGCCAGACTGAAGCCTGAGGGCCCTGGGGTCTGCTGAGCCAGGCTCGCTTCCACGCCGCTGCAGCGCAGGAGTAAGCAGACAGCACAAGGCAGCAGGGCCAGCTGCCTCCCACTCGGCAGGCGGAGCGTGGATTGGCTCACGGGTGGTAGTTCGCGCACCCGCCATCCTAGAGGATGAGGCGCCCGAGAACCAGACCCAGGAAGTCCAGGGCCTTCTTGCCTGCTGAGGGCACAGGATAAACTGGCCCTGAACAGTTTTCCCGCATTTCCTTAAAAACCTAGAGGCAACAACATTGTAAAAGCGACAGTATGTTAAGTTCTTCTATTCTAAGAGCCTGTTGCGTCATGTTACAATTATGTGCCTGATAAAAGATCTCCTGATTTATTGTCCCAATGTTTTGCTGTAGGAACAAAAATTATATGCTTTTTAAAAAGAGGCAAATGTGAAAGTAGTGAGGTGAAAATTAACAACTTAAAAATACTTTTAAATAGTCACATTAGCCGGGCTCGGTGGCTCAGCCTGTCATCCCGCGCCTTTGGGAGGCTGAGGTGAGTGGATTGCTTGAGCCCGCAGATTCGAGACCCACCTGGGCAACTTGGTAAGACCTCATCTCTACAATGAATCAAAAAATTAGCTGGGTGTGGTAGCGCACGCCTGTAGTTCCAGCTACTTGGAAGACTGAGGCAGAAGGATCACTGGAGTTGAGCAGGTTGAGGCTGTGGTGGCCGGGAGTGGCCCCTACCCTCCAGTCTGGGCGACGGAGTGAGACTCCAACTCAAAAAAACCCCCAAAATCAAACAAAAAAAAACATCTCAACAGAATCATGACTTTTGGCAAAAAAATAAATGCATAGAATAAAAACAAAATGTTTTCAACTGTAAGGGAAGAATTCAATATACTTAAAATGTATTATATATATGTAGTGTGTTTGTTAAATGTTATTCATGCTATTATTTATTGTGTCTTTTAAAAAAGTGAAATAAACCAGGGAGAATGTGTCCAGGAAAGTTTGCTAAGCACACCCTTAGCATCTCTGGGGTATCATCACTACGAGAGTCCAACGCGAAAGCCTCTCTCCCCCAGTTAGCCCATTTAAAATCCCGGCGGAACAGCCCAAGTCTGAAAAGTTCCAAAATATGAAACTTCTCAAGTGCCGACATGGCACTCATAGGAAATGCTCACTGGGGCATTTTGGATTTCAGACTTTCTTATTGGGGATGCTCAGTCAGTTTAGGAAGCATTTTGCAAATATTCCAAAATCGACAAGTTGCTGAAACCTGAACACTTCCAATCCCAAGCATTCCAGATAAGGGATCCTCAGTCTGCAGCCGCAACGGTCGATTTCTGCTCTTCTCGCCAAATCCCTCCCTCATCGCTTGCTCTAGCCGGGTTCCATTCAGCCACAGCAGACGCTCCCCCAGACCCTGGAACCAGCCCCCGGTGCACACTCTCCTCCCGAGAGAAAGGACCTCCCAGCCTTCGCCCAGAGAGGCTGGTTCCCATCTCTGCTTCAGGTCTCCGCCCAAACATCACTTCCCCAGGCAGCCTTTCCCTGATTCTTAGGCTCAGTTAGGTCCAAAGGTTGGATGCTAGCCGGGCGTGGTGGCTCACCCCTGTGGTTTTAGCTCCTGGGAAGGCGGAGGCAGAAGCATCGCCTGAGCCCAGCAAGTGGAGGCTGTGGTGGTCATGAGCGTGCCACTGCACTCCAGCCTGGTGGACAGGGTGAGACTCCGACTCAGAACAAACAAGCTAAGAGGGCTGAATTCTCCCCATGCTGCCTATTTCACACAGATCGGGGCTCTAGTACTACTTCTTGCGTTAGTCTTACCTGCTGGACGGTTCCTAAGCTCTGTGGAGCCAAGGGCTTTTGTGTTTTGTTCACCACGTGTCCGACACTCAGTACCTTCGTCTAATGAAATAAGATCATGAATGTGCATTAGTAACTGTCCTGGCGAGCTCTGTCCTATAAACTACAAACTAATTTAGTAGGAATTTGAGATTTTAGACACATTTAACATAGACGCTTTCAAGAATTGGCTGTTGGCCAGGCGCCGTGGCTCACTGCTGTAATCCCAGAACTTTGGGAGGCTAGGCGGGAGGACTGAGCCCAGGAGCGCGAGACCAGCCAGGGGAACACAGCAGCACCTTGTCTCTACAACAAATTAAAAAATTAGCCAGGTGTGGTGGCACGTGCCTGTGGTCCTGGCACTCAGGAAGCTGAGGGGGAAGGACTGCCAGAGCCTAGGAAGTCAAGGCCACAGCGGCCAGTGTTCATGCCCCTGCATTCCAGCCGGGGTGGGAGGAAGGAAAAAAGTTGGTTATTAATGATGCAAGGTGTTACCTCGAAAGACGTTTGAGAGATCAGGGTTGGGAAAAAGGAAGTCTTTTCTCTATTTGTGTATCCGAACATACTTAAACAAAGAAAAGGTGCAGTAAAAAATGTGGCATAAAGATTCAAAAATGGCCCACCTGTATAGGACACTTGCCATGAGTGGAGCTGCAGGGGTGGACCTTGTTCTGGGTGAGTGAGTGAGTAAGTGGAGAGTGGACGTGAAGGCCTAGGACAGGCAGTGTACAGTGTGCACCACTGTAGACTTTATAAACACTGTATACTTGGGCTACACTAAACTAAATTCAAATTTTTTTCTTTCTTCAATAATAAGTCGACCTTGGTTTACTGGAGCTTTACACAGTTAACATCTTGGCTCTTGTAATAACACTTAGCTTAAAAGAAACACAAACACATTTAAAAAACACTTTTTTAGCCAGGCTCGGCGGCTCCGCCTGTCATCCCGCGCCTTTGGGAGGCTGAGGTGAGCGGACGGCCTGAGCCCGCGGGTTCGAGACCCGCCTGGGCGGCGAGACCTCATCTCTACCATAAATCAAAAAATCAGCCGGGTGTGGTCGCGCGTGCCTGTGATTCCGGCTCCTCGGAAGGCCGAGGCGGAAGGATCGCGGGAGCCCAGCAGGCGAGGCTGCGGTGGCCGGGAGTGGCCGCTGCACTCCAGTCTGGGCGACAGAGGGAGACTCCAACTCAATCTAAATAAATAAATAAAACAAACGAGAATTTTATTCTCCACTTGAAAACAAGTGCTCCTGAGAGGTAGATGGGGCAGGTTACATTCCTTATTTGACAGAGGGGAAACTGAGGCCCGGGGACTCAACGGTGCTCCTCAGAGAGAGCTGGAAGCCACAGTCCCAGCGGGGTTGGCCTGGAAGGTTTTCCCACGAGGGAGGGAGAGGAGGAGGCTGTCGGGTACTGTGCGCTTCCCTGTACCGCCTGGTGTGATAACGCAGTGTGACACCCCGGCTTCTGGCAGCGGAAGAGCTGAGAGCCGAGGGTGGGGCTGCCACCCGGCTGGCTTGCCTCAAGGCTGCCTGTTTTCCGTTTTTCATGTTTCACCAGGAGCCGGGAGCGTGGGGACCCCGCCGCTTGGGAGGCGGGCTGGCCTAGCGAAGACGACCTTCCCAGGACGGAAGGGGACACCGCCGCATCCTCCCAGCTCGAGGTGCTGCCCTCAGCTCCGCTTAGCACCGCTCTCCCCAGAGACCCGAGGGGACACATCTGATGTCTGAGTCTCATAGGCCCAGACTGCTGGGGGTCACTCCCATGGGCTTTAGGTTTCAAGGTGGGCTGCTGAGGACCACATTTACCCCTGAGGAGCTAACCGGGGATTATGGGATTTCAGGCAGCAGCATGAGGCCTGAAGGGCGGTGGTAGGGGTGGGCACTGGTTTTCAGGCACTTGTTACCGTCATGTTAAACTCCTGACTCCTGCCCTCCTGCCAGATACCCTGGAACCAGGTATCATCCATGCTTGCCCATGAAATATTCATTGGTTTTTTTCCTTCTGTACTCACCCAGCTATGT